GTATTATTATTACTATTCTTTTCTCCATTATATTTCAGCATGACTGCTTTACTACTATATTTTCCTTTCCATACTTGTTTTAGTATGCTTTACTTGGACTGAGGGTCTATAAAAAATAATCTCTCTATCTTCACAAGGTGGGGGTAAGGATGTGTATACACTAACATCCCTAAACTTCACTTGTGGAATAACATTGCCATGTTGTTATTGTTGTACCTATGTATTAGAGAACCAGATTCTTCAGCCACTATGCACGAAGAAAATGCAGAATAATAAATCAATACAGGAATTTTTATGTGGAAAAAATTTTCCCTTCAAGGAGTCAAAAAAATCACGAAGGCCTGTACCTCATAGGATTTTCCTCTCAAATTACCATTAAATTTGAGCCACTATTTTAGGTTACAACTTTACAACCAAGGGACTACCTCGTAGTAACTTTCCCCTCTATAATCCTCTCTAATTGTAGCTACTTCTTCCTAGATTCTACCTAGTCAAGGAAGGTCTTACAATGCAAACACCTATTATAATTTAACTAGTAATGTAAAGGTTACAATTTAAGCACAATGAATCAAACCAGAAAACAAAATTGCTGTGAGAAAACTAGATAGAAATAGGTTCTTTTGTTGTTTCCAGATGACTCTCACTCACACTAAGAGACTATGTGGTAAGAAGTTGCTCTTATTTTCTTTTTTGTTTGCTCTCTTCTCTCTATATCTGGATGCCTTCAACAGTATCAATGAGATGTTCTGTATAGAAGTAGATGAAAACTTCTAGTTCTTTCAATTCAACATGGATTAGTTTAATCATCTAAGTTTAACTTGGTTTCTATCTTTTTTTCATGCATCGACCTCCTCCTATTTTCAAATCTTCTTTCTTGTGTGCAAATATAGTAATAATTTCATATTTCTTCTTGTTCTTTGCTTCTCTAGATTAGATGTAATCCTAATTCTGCAAGGAATAATTTAATGCACTTGAAATCTGCTTTGTCTTGATCAACAGTCTTCTTTCAGAGTACCGTGAAGGACCTGGTTCCTTCACTCCTTGCATTGACTCTTGATATCAGCTCTTGTAGTAGACATGTTAAAGAACCGGTTCTTCAGAAGTTCTTTGTCATAACACTATCAATCCTTATTTGAGACATGTTTAATATTTAATTCTTGTATAGATTTGTATTTTTTTGTTAATCATCAAAACTTCATATTGTTAGCCTAGCACATAGCTCCCTATCTCATGGCTCTTCCTAACTCATAGCTCTCTTGCTTAGGTTCTTTACTTACCAAAATCACTTATCGAGCTTATATGTGAAAATATCTTTCAAAATATCTCAAATTTGAGATCCCCAAGTCCAAAAATGATGGAAAATGATTGAAATTTTTAAAATTTGACCTTTTAAACACTCCCCAGATTTTTCTTTTTTGAGATACTGATGTCCACATTTTTCTTCTTCACAATCACGTATAACAAATTTGCATTGACAGGTCAAACTCTACTTTTTCCTCCTCACTACCGCAAGACATCCTTCGATATCGCGAAGAACAACCTCTACACTAGAAAATCGACAATTGTCGAATTGGTCCAAAGCATATCAAACGAACTCAAATTAGACAAAATCAGTATATGTGAGTCACAAATAATGATACGAGACTAATCATACTTTGGAATTACCCTTTTGCCCATCAATTCACACAATGAGGGGTCGGGTTATTTATTTATTTATTTACTTTTGGAATGTTATTTATGCGGAACATATTCCAAATCCACATGAACCACCTTGAAATCTAACCATAATTTGAAGACAAGTGCAAAATCATCTTAAGAACCTATTGGAACCTTCAAATCACAAATTCAAAATTGTTTACTCAAAATATTGACTTTGATCAACTATATGAACTTTAAGCTACTAGTTTAGGTTCAAGTACTCCAAAATACTCCCGAGCCCCTCAGGACCCGTGCCACCCATACTAACAAGTCATAAATCATCAAAAGAACTTACAAAAAGTATCCAATAAGAAAAAAGGGTTCTAAAACCCAAATGCCTGATTAGGTCATTACAGAATATTTCCAAGAATTTCAAAGATTTAATGATGTTAATATTAGTAATTTGGAATAGTAATTAACTCAAAAGTAATCCAAGAACACCTTATTTATTCGACAAAGACCCTAGCTCAATCTCCAACTTTATCCCATAACCCAACTCAAAATTTTCCAAAATATGAAGTTTCTTGTAACAACTTTAAATAAACCTAGGTACTCCATCGAGTTATATATTGTATTGTGTAGTTTGTACCTTGTTGGGTATCTTTCAGTAAAGTGACTACAATTTTTAGTAGGAACATCCAAATGATGACTAGTTTGTAGCTCTGCAAATTAAACTAAACTTCAAGAGCTTTAATTTGATATATTCATAATTTAATTCTACATGCTGAGAGTATTAATTGGTTGAAATTTGAATTTGTGCTCTCCTGTTTGGAACTTTAGTTTATCATATAATGTACAACTTAGCTTGATTTTAGGGATACTGTTCTTAGATCCCAACCACTTTCAATATACATTGCACACTTATTATCACGCTCAAGTAATATTTTACTAGTATGTATTCACTTTTGGCAAACTCATATTCTACGTCTCGAAAACTCTCGTATTTATCCATAAGAAAGAGAAAAATGGGCTTTTGTATGTTGTATAAGTTGCAATTCGATATTAGCTAACTGAATGAATGTTTTAGCTTAACCTTAAATATGTTATACTTTGCTTTACTAGCTATTTCAATGGTGTTATCATAAATTTGTTACTCTTTTGATGATTCTCGTGTTTGTATAAACTTACTAGTTGTAAGATGTGTTATTCAATACGTCCTAAAATGATTGACCAAATTTAATATAGTGCAATAATTAATGCATATAATTTTATGTGTACTGATCATAAATTCTAATAGTATAAGCTGAATTTAAAGTCTAAAAAATAAGATAAACTAACATTTTTTGGTTAAAGATATTTAAAATATATCCAGTCTGCAACCGATGATACTATTTAAATAAAATTGGAACGTCGTCAAACGCACTTGACCACTGTAATTTATTTATCTAAAAAACCAAACCATCTGGGCCAATCATCCAGCCATTGAGAATGGAATAAATAGAGATTGAGTTCCTTTTTCTTGTTTTCAACCCAAAACCACAAGAATTATTCGAATATATAAAAATTGTAACAAATTTAAAGTAAAAAAAAAAAAAGAACTTTTGGGTACCTAAATATTAATGCATCGGAGGATTATGTAGCTCAATTAATTGGTTATCTAAATTTTTACCTTATTAATAAGGGTTTAATTTCCTATCTTGTAATCCCCTCTCCTATTTCTCCTTCTCCTACCCCAATTTTTTCCTACCCCAATTTTTTTTAAAGAAAAACTAAAATGTTAATGTATCAAGTAAATTTAAAGATGAAAATAAAATTATAGGTCAATAGTTTTAATTTTCTCCAAAAACTCAAACAAAACTTTGCGGGTACCATACGGTAAATATTCAATTTCTTAGTAGATGGAAGGATTTAGCAAAGATAGATAAGATCCATAATGTCATGTTGTCTCGATATTAATTTGGGCAGAGTATACCAATGTAACATTTGAAGCAACTAAGAGCAAAAGCCCGTTTAGCTCAGTTGGTAGAGTTCAAGGCTCTTAACCTTGTGGTTGTGGGTGGTTACACGAGCCCCATGGTGGGCGATGTTTTGATGGAATTTTATTTTGACTTAAATTATTAACTTCTAAAGCTTAATTAAATAATAAAACAACCGACATATAAAACAAATTAAGAGTAATATAAATTGCACTTTTTCTCTTATAAATATAAATGATGTGTCAAATATTAAGATAATTGAAGGTCCAAATTTCAACAGAGACAAAAAAAAAATACTAGATGATTTTCTTTTCATTTATCATAACTTTAATGGATAGAGTTATCTAGTATCTGTTGCTGGTGCGAGGTGACAGATATTCCGTTGAATTAAGCGAGATTTACGCAAACTGATCTAGATACCACGATTAATTAAAAGAAAGAATATTAAGAAAATTGAACTTCGGAGTCAATTTCAAAAGTTAATTTATAAGCAGAGGAAAAGATTACAATATTTGTCTTAGTAGTTTCAGAGTATGCGCTTTGTACATGTATATCATTTGACAACAAATACTATAGGAAAAAAAATTAGCTATGAACTTCATCACTAATCTGTTATTAAGAAAAAATTTAATAACCGATATCAGAAATTAAAGATTCTTTACAAAGTGTTATGAGCCAAAATGATGCAGAGGTTTGCATATGTAGAAGGCAACGAAGCAAAAATAATGCAGAACTTTGAAGTAAAGTTAGAATACTAGAAGAAGAATGAAAGAAATAAAGTGAAATGTTGATGGCAACCTCCTCCTCCCCCTCC